TATTAATTATTAATTAATTGCTAGAAGAGCAAAGTGCTGTTATTAACTTCAAATTTATTAAACAAATATTCACTGTCTGTTTCTAGAATACATTTTTATACAGAAAATTAAAATTCATTAAGCAGGAATATACAGCTGATTTCTCCAGGGACAGTATTACAGAAAATAAAAATACAATATGCATTACATATAGAATTCCATCTGACATCTTTAGGATCTCTACTTTCTCTTGTTACTAAGGAAGTTAAGAAAAGTCCGTGCATGTTGATTGATGCTAAAGTTCTTGTTCGCAGAAGAAGGCTAGCTCGTTGTTTCCGTTCGTATCATACAGGGCACCCTCTCTGCCGACACAACCGGAATTCCCAGACGTCCCCTCGCCGGGTTCATTTTGGGCCCATGTGGTGTACCCAGTACCATTGAGGGGCTCTCCTGGAAAAGGGTGTAGTTATTACTGATGGATATGTGTTACAGTAAGTAGTTACTTATAAATATAAATATTCGCGGTGGTAAAGTATAGTTGGGCATGTACTGTCTTCTCTCGCTTGGAAACCGGGATCGTGGGTTCGAATCCCATCCAGGGCATGGATGTTTAGTGTGTGTGTGCGTTTTTCTGTGTTTGTGTACACATAGAGACCTTGTGACGAGCTGATCACCCGCCCTAGGAGTCCTACAGAATGTGTAAGATCTAGAAAAACCGAAGTGAACGGAGAAGTTCATGGAGGTAGGCCTAGGCTCACTGGGGCTGTAGTGCCAAGGAAAAGAAAAGCAGTACATTGAGACGACAAGTATGGAAAGACAAAAACATATGTATATGAAATTTGAACTTAAGTTTAAATAATAATATTAGCAAAATGTGAGAGAGAAAATGAAGTTTTTAGTAATATCAAAGAGATGAACCAGAAAAAGGAAACATAAACAGATCTACATATACAAAAGGAGCTAAATAATTAACTGGTAAACTGAAGAACAGATGACTAATGACAAAAATTATAAACCCACTTGAGACGGATTCGAGAAATGCATCCCCCTTTTACAGACGAAACAGTCGTGCAATCAGGGGACCATTGACATTTTCCGTCGAAAGTACCTACTCTTGTACACGGAGCTCAAAACGAGGACGATGTACTGCATTTATGTATTTTTAATTTAGAACAGGCCTCCGTCATATAAAATATCGAATGTTTATATAGCGGTAATATTCTTGACCCTTATTGAGGAGTTGCTCGGCTCGAATCCAGACCGAGGCATCGGTAATCCTGATTGGTATATTTTATTGTTTTACTCAGTAACTCCAAGCAAAAGTCGGATAACCCTTCTAAAAGGCTACTACACCACGAAGGCATATGGCGGAGTGGATGTATAGACCTACGTTTTCTTGACCTCGGCACTAGTTGATGGTGAGCCGTCAGCTTCACTTCCCGGCCGTTTTAGCTCAAGGGAAAGAGGTCCCTGTACCCATTGGATAGGAAGTTGGGTGTACCCAGAGCCGGTCCGGTTACTTGGAGAAGAGAAAATTCTTGACCCTACTGGGACTCGAATCCCGACCCCTCTGTCGTCCAGCCTGTATTCAGTCGCTATACCGACTACGCTGTCCTGACTCCAGCTGTGAGAGGGCATTTAGCAAAACAATTACTAAAAATTTGACTACTGGGTTCCATTTCCCAGAAGGAATAGGGACTTTCTTTATTCATATAAGCCTTGGGTCTCATCTACCCTGCTGATCAAACTGTACTTCGGGATCTCTCCTTGGGGGAAAGCAACCTGAGAGTTAGCCTAACCAGACTGATAAGTACAGTGCAGAAGCTAGGAATGAGAGAAGATATATACAGTTGGGATCCAATTATACGCCATCACGTATTTAGACAAACGGACAATTTTCTTGACTTTATACAAAGTCATAGTAGAATATTAAATTAAGGAGATTATTGAGGATAACATACCAAACAAAGTAACATATTCTCCTTCGGCGTATTCGTCGTGGATTCCAATATAAGCACAAGAGTTTCTCCATCCATCGAACAGCCTAGGATGACGCTTCCAGATGCTTCTTATGACCCCAGCCTCCTTCTCTGAGTTCAAGATGAGTAGATGTGTTCCTTCCTGGACACAAATGTCACGCGCTTCTAGCCATGTTTTGCCCGAAGTGTGAAGCTTATAGTAGCCCAGACCTGGTACCAGCTCGTAGTCCTTACCCGGTCGTTGTGGAGGGCCTGAAACACGAAGACTCATTCGTTTCTTTCACGGATAAACTGGTGTGTTGCATAGCCCCCAGTACACTCCAGACGAGCACCTTTTCTTCAGGCATGGTACTGTGTGGTAGGACTCTACCTCGAAACAAACCCGATCTTTGAGTTAAGTTCCAACAGTTTTCAAAACATATTGTCACGTGTCCGGTGCTCCGTGATTGATAATAACAAGTTCTGGATTGGATTTATTGACGCATGTTTTTAAAATCGCTCTTAACTACAATCAGTTAAAACAGCTCACAATCAGTCTTTTGCCGAGGACTTGCTCCGTTCCCGTTCTCCCGTCTCAGTTCAGTTACAGCTTCTGAACTCACCTACTGCACTGAACTGACTGAGAGTTCTCACGTGTCCTCCCTTTATAACTTCGGGAAGAACTCAATAGAGATCACCATCTCCAACAGTTCGTCTACTATTGTGTGCTGATTCGTTGCTGAGGAAACATGTTTAACGACCCGTTACCCTGCAACGGACGTCCTTCTAATATTGAGACCTTAACTTCGGGAATATTTTTATCGAATCGTTGCCTAGCAGAGGTTGTATGCGTCACAGTATAACTAATACGAATGGTTCATGATCACACCTGTGACTATGGCCTCTATCAGAATAGATTTGGTGTCCTCATACTTGGTAGTGACGTGGTAGATCCCACCCAAAATGACCTACTTCCTCCAGCTCAGCTCCGTGTTTCAAGCGTTATTATGATACACAACTAGAAGAGACTGGCTCACACCTCGTCTGTAAATTTGGCCAATATCAGGGTGGATTCTGTGTCCCCACACTTTTCAGTGGCATGGTAGATTCCACCCCAAATGTCATCTCTCCTCTAGTTCAGCTCCATGTTTGAGATATTCCTTTGATTCCTATGATACGTAACCAGAAGAGACTGTTTTGTAAACCCACCTGTGACTTTGGCCACTATCAGGATGGACTCTGTGTCCTCACATTTGGAAGTGATGTGGTCGATGTCCACCTCCCAAGGACCCGTCTCTTTATGTCCAGCGCCGTGACTCAACTGCACCTGTAATGACAACGAAGTAAAGTTACGGCCGTAGGGATAAGTGATTCGATTATGTATCCTGCTTACCAACCTCAGCAGTCCAGTGTCCTGTGAGGTTCCGTAGACTCTTGATTGAGAACTTGAGGTCACTGAATCGAAGCGAGGAGCACTGTAAATCAGCACAACACCCACAACAAATCAGTGCACAGTAGGCAAGTATAGCTGCAGATCTACACATCCTAGCGAGGGATTAGTGCTTCAGACTTCGTAACACACAAACATTGGCGCTTCCTTTATATACAGTGATCCTCATTCAAATCTGTGGATAATGGAGATTATCAGGATTATCTCCAGATAATTACAATACAATGCATTGCAATTGCTTTTTTCCTAAGTACTGAATAAGAAGCATGTGATGAGAATTACGAGGTTTGTTATTAACGTAAAACACATTGCAAAGCTTCCGTGCGTGTCTGCACTTGTAGTATGGTATGTAGTTGTGTTCTTCAATGTCTGTTATAGTTAGAAGCTGCAAAGAGTTGCACCATATAGTGTGAATCACTAGCAATGTTTCTCTTTCATATAATTTTCGCCAATAAGTTATAGCATGAAGGAAGGCCACACCATAGCTCAGGCGGTTAGCCGCCTGCTTCCCACCGCGGCGGCCCGAGTTCAGCCCGAATCAGGTCATGTGGGATTTATGGTGGACAAATTGGTGCTGGGGTAAATTTTCTCCGAATACTTCGCCTTCTCCTGCCAAATCTCATTCCACCGACTGCTCCACACTCATCATCAATCATCCGGGCTTGGTATAATAGGCCGGTTAGTGGCCGATGGACAAAGTGGACTAGTTTCACCCCCGCTCCGAGAAACTAAAAACAAAAGGAGACTAGGGAATGAAGAAAGCAAGTTTATACAGAAATATATAGCTCACTTTGTAAATATTTGGAACAGAATATACGCTTTGTGGTATCTAGTTAGGAGACCGTGCCTGGACAGTTTTAAATCTACGTGACAGGTATAGGTAGAGACCTGTAATGAAGTCATATAGGTTTAGAACCAATTAAGGTGTTTAATTGTAATAGTTTATATGTGTGCGTTTTTCTGTGTTTGTGTACAGGTAGAGGCCTTTTGACGAGCTGATCACCCGCCCAAGGAGTCTTACCGAATGTGTAAGATCTAGAAAAACCTAAGTGAACGGAGAAGTTCATGGAGGTAGGCCTAGGTCCACTGGGGCTGTAGTACCAAGGAAAATAAATTGTAATAATTAGGACACTCGAAGCTGTGTGACACTCTACGTTTTATAACGAAAGTTATTTCTTGAACGTTTGACGGCTTAAAGATTATTCACTGAAGGGGCATGACGAGGTTGGGGCTTCTGAAGGTCAGTTATCGGCTAATAGTGAAGTTATTGGTGCTTATTTATTGTTACGATTTGATATGTCATCATATACCTGTCGCTTCTACGTTTAAATTTCCTGTGCTGAACGAAATGAATGACGAGATGCCTACGTTTGAATAGGCTTCACTTAGACGGGTCTTGCTCTAGGTACTCACGTAAGTCATCCAGGAAGGAACCGATTCCAACATTCGCACTTGGTTCCCACGAGAGAATAACTTCGTTTAAATTTTAAGGGTGAAGATAGAACTCACCAGTCTCTCGATAGGGACAAATAGCGTCATCTTTTGAACACTAATCTAACGAAAATATTCTCATGTATTGGGGTTAGTGTGACTAATAATAACGGGTTTTGGATTGGATGATTGGATTTATTGGTACTTCTTTACAATTACAACCAATTATGACAGCTCACAATCAGTGGCTACCTAAGACTCGCTTCATTCCTTACTGGACTGCGAGTGTCCTCTCTTCTGCGTGACGGATTTGGTTCTGATTTACATGTCAGCCACTTCTTCAGCTTCCGCTGACCGCTGATTAACACTCCACAGTTGAACACTGAACTCTGTTACGACTAAACTACAACTCCTTCGTTCTTCCAGACGTGACCCCATATATAGGAAAAAGGTCTGTTGTTACGGAAACGTGCTTATCGAACCAGTGACTAGCAAATGACTTGTTCGTTGCTGCGGGAAAATTTATTTGTTAAGCCGTTGGTTAGCAATGGTCTTCCGCCGTGTTCTTTTCTGCGGAAACGTGTGTTTGGCAAGCCGTTGGCTAGCAGTTGTCTTCCTCTCTGGTTCTGCTATTCCGGCTCTGAGACGTAAAGTCACAATATTGTATTTTGTGACATTATCCACCGCCTTGTTGTCCGGTTTCTATTTAAAAAACGAAATATTTCAGAGACTGGATTCTGCCTCCATCTTCAGGTAAAGCCTAATAATTTGGGTCCACTCAATAGAGTTATTCTGTATCCCCGTCTGATGGGCCCAACTGAGTATATTTCACCTGAAAACGGAGAGAGAATCCAATTTCCGAAACGTTTTGTTCCTAACTACAAATAGGAGAGTGTTTTAGATAAAGTCAAGACGATGTGTAATGTCCAGAAACAATATTTTTTGTTAATATACCATCGTCACAAACTTTTACAATGGATCTAACGGCTTCTGCAGATGGACTCTAATTTAATTAATTGAGATACATGAATGCTGGATTTGAGGTTCTCACAACAGCGTCAACTAACAGTTGCATCTTCTCGGATACATCGCTATGTAGTCGCGTTAAAATTCAACCACGTTTCGGAGGAACGTATCGCCTCCATCATCAAGTTCGAATAGTAAGCCAAATAATAAACTAGCATGAGGCAGAGAATAAGAACAGGCTGTGATTTTTTTTCAGAGGATTGCAAAAAGTTTTATCACAGAAGATGAAATTCTTAAAATTCTTAAAAATATGTACAGTGTGTATTGTTTTGAGTTCTGCTTCTACTGGTTTCGGGAAACATTGTCCTCGTCTTCTAATATGCTCCATTACGCAGCTATCTTATATTTCTTATGTAATAAATTCTAGACGCCTAACCCTATTCCACCCCTATCCAATCGGTGCAGAATGTCATGAATAAGTACAATCATGTCATCTAGTGCCAAGGTTAACAATGCACGGAACTACACCTCCACTCTCCCAGTCGTCTTCATGTGATGGTGTTTCATTAAGCACAAGGGAAACTTTCTGTTGTCTTAACCTGTAGAACAGGAGCCGGGATAGCTCAGTCAGTATAGCTACGGACTGGACGACCGAGGCGTCGGAGATCGAGTCCCGGTAGGGTCAAGAATTTTCTGTTCTCCAGGATGTCCATACCGCCTCTTGGGTACAACTAACCTCCTATCCAATGGGTACATGGGGCTTTCTCACCAGGGGGAGTGAAACTGACCACTCACTTTCAATTAGTGTCGTGGTAAAGAAATGTGGAGCTATATATCCACTCCCCCATACGCCTTCATGACGTAGTCCTTAATTAGTTAAGCACAGGGACCAATTTAGTTTTACTTGTAGAACGCCAGCGTGTGAAGACTGGAATTGTTAGCTCTGGAGGCAATTGTTATACTGCCTTCAGCTGTATTTCTTTTGTAGGCCAAGTTTCTTTGTGTTGACTTTTGGAGGTTCATTTGCTTGACACTGGAGCGAAGAATAACATTTGTGTTACAAACTCCAAGAAACATATTGGAGTGAAAACCACACTTTCGGACTATGAAATCCAAGAAAGAAGAAATTATTCTGTTGTTTGAAACAGCTGTCTTCTTGATAAGATTAAATACAAACAGATACTTAAAGAAGAAAGCAGTCTTCTGGGATGTGGTACCGTGTAGATGTGGTGTTAACCGACGTTTCGGAGGAACGTATCTCCTCCATCTTCAGGGTAGAAAGAAAAATAAGAAATCCGCAAGCGAAGAGACCGTGAGAACCGGTAAAAGCAGACTGCTTTCTTCATAGTCACATCCGTGAAAACCTCAAATATTTCACGCATACGTAATAGATTTCGCTATTTCATACTCCCCATAACAAATGTTCTACATGAATTTCCTCTGCATTATCTATTGTTTATGAAGTGGTATTTTGATGTTTTAGTGTTCCACGCTGATTCGTGTACGTTCGAGATCTTAAAGATGTGGCAGTTTTAAATATAAATACTTCAGAAAATGATAGTCACTTAGAATTTCAAGATATTCCCCTAAAATTCATGGTGCTCAAAAGTTCATAACTGTTCGCAAATCCTCGTCTTTTGACCCTATGACCTTGTATTTTAATTCGGTCAGTATCTTCTCTAGAGATTTCTCTGAAGTCCTTCTGGTATTAGCGGATCGCTCCTTCCTAAGTTTACCAGAGGTCTCTTGCCTTTAAGCATTCTTAGGAAAGATTTATGCAGTGTGTCCCAGGAGGAAAGGTCAATATTATCGATCATTCTAAGCAACAATATATATATGTACATGCGTCCTATTCCGAACGGGTTTCGAGATAGAGCTATGGACGTTATTGTCCGCGAAATGGAAGGTAAAGATGCACTCAGACGTGCAACACGCCATGTCCTCACACAAGTTGCAAAGTGCATTGATGTTGACTGCGGAATTTTCGAAGATGTATTATGCTAGGTAAACTGTACCAACTTTGTCACTTGAAAGATAAATAACGGTATTACAAACAGAGGTATTATCTCTTTCTTATCAACAGCTTTGGAACTGTACAATGAAATAGCTCTATCTCGGAAATAGTTCGGAATAGGACACATCTACGTACAAACATTTTGTGTAGAATGACCGACATTTTGACATCCTTTCGTCTTGGGACATTCTATATGCTTAAGCCAGTTGATGTATTAAGATTTCGGTCTTCTAGGACGTGGCACCGTTTAGTTTGGTAGGTTGACATCTACTCACGGCCGTAAGAATGAAAACTATTATTACATTGAGAAGTATTTGCATGCCTGCAGATGCAAATCATGAAGCTACTCACAGTATCTCACAAACGGGGCTAATTATCATTCGGTGACACGCACAGACTTTCGGGTCTGGAATAATTACAATGGCTGACATTGAACTAAATCTTTATAAAACAAAGGAGAGGAAGGAAAGAGGGAGAGGGTTGCAGATATGCTGGAGAAATAGAAATAATGGAAACAGTTTGAAAGAGAAAGGAGGAAGATGAAAGGGATAATAGCGAAGAAGAAATGAAGGGACGAAGAAACTGTTTTAGGAGGAAGTGAGGGGCGAAAAATGACGCCAGAATGGGCAAATAAGAGGTGTGGGAAAATAATGCCGGGGAAAGGGTGGAAGGAGATAGAGTACAAAAGAAATACGAAGTCGGGGTGAGAGCAGAACTTAGGGAATAATTTGCTCGGAGAGACTGAAGATGTGAATGCGTTAAAGTGTAACGCCAAGGTGAAGGAACATCGGATGATGTTCACCAAGCGTACGTAACTGCGGCAGTACTTTTCTGCTGGCCTTAAGGCGGCGCCATAGCTCAAGCGGGTAGTCGCTGGCTTCCCACCGCGGCGGCCCGGGTTCGATCCCGGGTCTGGTCAAGTAGGATTTGTGGTGGACAAAGTAGAGCTGGGGCAGGTTTTCTCCGAGTACTTCGGTTTCCCCTGCCAATCTTCATTCCACCAATTGCTCCACAATCACCCTCACCTATCATCTGGGGCTGGTACAATAGGCCAGAAGTGGCCGCAGTACAAGGGACTTAGTCCCACCCCACTAGCAATAAAAAATAATGCTTATTTTTTAAGGGTTTTTTATTATTTCGTGTCAACAAAAAGAGAAAGAAAGTCATTCCTTGTAGATATATGTTGTCTGCCCTACTCACACCAGCCCATGCGCAGTTACATAGATTTTTAAAGAAGGAATCTTAAAAATTTTGTGAGGAAACCGACGTCGATATCCGCCTCCGCGGGCCGTTGAAAGGCGCGTGTCAAATAACTTGGCGCCTCTTCACAACATTCTAATCAACGGATGGCGCAGAATGTTGTCAGAGGGCACAGTGCCTCAACAGACCATTCCGAGCTGATAGGAACTGCCTCGCCTGCATTCTCGGCAAGAGGATGGTGAGCTGGCACGGCTCCTAGCTCTCATGTATTGTGATTATGGCCTGAAGAAGGGAGTTAGGGTATGAATGAATGAATGTAAGAAGAGGTGGGCCTTCTCGGCCCTTGCACCGCGACCTTAGGTCTATTGTTCTTCCCCCTTTTTTAATTATTCCCTCAGCGGCTCCACGCTTCGGATGAAGCGCAGGATTTTGGACGTGGGGGCGTCAAAATAGTCACTTGGTTCCATAAAGTATTGATCCAAGTGATGTAGTCTTAAATAAGCTAAGACCTCACATGCGCACAGGACGTGTGTGGCCGTTTCGTTTTCTGTCTGACATCTCTCACAAGTGGGACTATCACTCAGTCCCAGTTTGAACAGGTGTCCTTTGAGGTGACAGTGTCCTGTAAGTAGTCCTACCACCCATCGTAGCTGGTTCCTGTTTAACTTCAACAGTTCCTTCGCTCTTTTAGTGGAACGTCCTCGTATGAGTCCCTTTTCTTGCCTGAGTCCAATTACGCACCGCAATGTGCGTTCGAAACGTCGATGAGTTAGAGTAACTGTTGGATGACCAGTTGTTTCTTGAGCTAAAATGACTCGGGAAAGATAAGGTAAGGGAAGGTAAATGGGTAAGAAGAGGAGTGCATATAGGATATTGGTGGGAAAGCCAGAAGGAAAGAGACCACTAGGAAGACCAAGGCGTATGTGGGTGGACAATATTAAAATGGATCTTAGAGGGATAGGATGGGATGGTATTGATTGGATTGGTATGGCTCAGGATAGGGACCATTGGAGGGCTCTTGTGAACACGGTAATGCTGGGAAATTCTTGAGTAGCTGCAGAATTGGCGGTTCCTCAAGAAGGGCTCAGGTACATGAGAGAGTGAGCGAAAGGTCATACTTGTATTTCAGATTTATAAAATAGAGTGGTAAGTGGTCTAATGAGTGAAGGACTGAACATGGCAACGTAAAGGCTATAGACCTCGAAATCTTGTGAAAGTGCGTTTAGATTCGGTTGGGCGTTGTCATACTCAAGTAACGGGCCCGCTCTGAACATGAGAGTGAAACTTTGAAGAAGGCCACGAATATCTTGACCGGCTAAGTGGCTATCACCTTCTCAAGGGCTATGCTATATAGGATTTGTAGTTATAGTAGGTGGCCCATCACAGTGACCGTGCGGTCTAAACATGAACTGCCTTCGCTCGCTCAAATTCTGAGATCATGAGTTCGAATTTCACTGAAGGCGTAAATGTCTCTGTGTGTTTATTCTGTGCCTATGTTGTCTTGTATGTTGGTAGCGGCCTTGCGACGGGCTGATCCCCCGTCCAAGGAGTCCTACAGCCTGTATAAAAAAGATTACGGAACTGAAGAAGAGGCCAGGGACCAACAAAGGGCTGTAGGGCCATTGATGAATGGATGAAAAGTTATAATATATGATCTATTTAAACGAGTCGTTATGTATTTACCTTAAGATGGTATCCTTTAAAATTTTCAGTACTTCGTCTATATTCGTTCGTCCTATGATTTCGGAGATTTGCAAAAACTCTCGAAAATATGACCTTGATATCTGATTTATACCACTGCGCATCCAGCTGCGCAGAAATGTCGTAGCAGCTCGTGTAGAGACATTACTGATTTCAGGCTTCCACGGTGGTTTAATTATTCATGTTAATTCTGTTTTTGTGTTTTTATATTGTGTGGTTGTAGACGATATTACTTAATTTTCGAAAGGACGTGTTGCTTCATTCTTCGAGATCTAGGTGTGTACATTGATGATTTAAACATTCTTGGGCCCTTAAGTGGGCTGTTTGCAGGCTTCTCTCTGCCCGTTTTTCTTACTGCCTTAGAGGAGGCACAAGATCCCACTATATTCCTCCAGTTTCACACTTCTTTTCAGAACAGGGTGTTATATTAACTCACCACCCTACACACTGTGGTCCGGAAGATGGAGGCATCATATGCTTCCGAAACTTCGGCACCTTCGTCCACAACCACAATATGTAAGAACCCCAAAACAGAATTAATATCAATAATTAACCACAGTGGAAACCTAAAACAGACCGCCTCTATGGTCTAGTGGTCAGAGTTCTTGGCTACAGATCTAAAGTTCCCGGCTCGATACCCGACGCTACCAGATTTCTGCGGAGTAGTGTGTCAGGAACGGAGTCCACTCAGCCTCGTGAGGATAACTGAGGAGATATTTCAAGGAAATAATGGCTCCGGTCTAGAAAACCGTGACTACCGGCCGTCGTGATCCGTTGCGCTAACCACGTGACACTCTTTATCCGCAAAAGTTGACACTTTTGACAAGCGGCGGTAGCTCGGTAGGTATAGTTCGCTTGCGGACTCAAGCCACGGAATTTTTTGAAACCTAAAATAAATATAAAACTGTGTTGTACACTTATTATAATCTTTTCATCCAAATATTTGCTTCAGAATGGAATAACATATATTCGTGTCATAAGTAATACTGAGGAGTGCTAAGCATGTACGTGTATATCGTAGCTGTCATCTCTCTTAGTACAATGCACTTAAATAGACTTGAAAGGATCTGACGATGGTGTATGCTGTACAGCAGGCATGGCCAACGCGTCGATCGCGGGACGATTTTTGGTCGATCTCATATACCTATAAGGGAATTATGCGTGGAAAGCATGTAAATTCACTTGTAATATAATATGATTATATTAAGATTTTGAAGGGAAAATACGTATTAAAGTAGTCTGTACTGTCAATGTATCTTGCTTTTACAACAAACATCACGTGCCGTGTTATTTTTACCAATATTTTTGCTTAAAGCGAGGTACGACGATAGAAGGGGGTGGTAGATCACTGGCAGTTTTGACACTAAAAACTCGATCACAACCTGTTTAAAGTTGGACTTGCCTACTGTACAGAACTGTGATTGAGACTAGCTCTTTCTAGCAGGCCCAATTGAGTAGATTTATCCTTCCCCATCCACCTGAGGATGGAGACAGATCCAGTCTCCGAAACATGTTTTTTTTGTCTTCTATATACCAGACGATGGATAAAGTCAAAAATAAGCCTAACAGTTCTGTATAATGCACTTATTTTCATATTCCAGAACTGTTTTGGGTTTTCTTAATATAATCAAACAAAAGACTGAAATTTCTTTTGAAGCATCATGATGACAAAGAAGTTGAACTTCATAGTGGAGTGCCCAGGTATCGATTCTATCACAGGCCGTTTCAGGGTGGTTACGTGTGTAAACATAGAAACGTGGCAGACAACAGACTGGTGTGGAAGGTTTCAGCGTTAGATGACTACAGAATTTACTTCTCGCAGAAGAACGGAAGCCTATAGAAACAGGGGACGTCTTGCGCTCTACCCTCGATGTGGAATGTGACACAGTATTCTCCAGGAGGTGCGTTGTCAGGCTCGTTGTGGAACCAGATCGGTAATTCAGACGCGAAAGGCAGGCCTGAAAGTTAGAGACGCATGACTTCTGGCATTTCCTTTACATTATGTTACGCACAGTAAACGATATTAAGTATCAATGCTACTAATGAAACGCATTACAAACCGTACTTGTTTCAGATTTTCCACTTTTATAACAGCACTTACTTATAAAAGAGACGTGATAGCCTAGTCGGTATAGTTACGGGCTGCGCTGGATTCGATTACCGGCAGGGGAAAGAGACCATTCTCTTCTTCAAAGCCTTCAAAGTTCTTCAAACTTCTCGCCGGGGTTGAAGCGACAGAATTGTGAAGCTGATAACTTACGTCCATGAATTGTCGAAGTAAAGAATGGTGGAGCTCTTGCTTCACTCTCCCCTACGTCTTCATGGCGTGGTGCTTAATTAATTTCGGTTTTCTAGACCGGAGCCGCTAATTTTCCATTCAAGTAGCTTCTCAATTATCCTCACGAGGGTGAGTGGCCACCGTTCCAGAACCACTACTTCACAGAAAATCTGGTAGCGCCGGGAATCGAACCCGGGACCTCTGGATCTGTAGCCAGGAACTCTGACCACTAGACCATAGAGGCGGTCACTGTTTCTAATATCGGCATTTATTGTTCAAGTGACAAAGTTGGTGTAGTTTACTTAGTAAAATATGTTTTTGAAAATTCCGCCGTCAACATCAGTGTACTTTCCAGTTCTTGTGACGACATTGCGTGTTGCTCGTCTGTACAGTGTACAGTGTACAGTGTACAGTGTACTATCTCTCTCTTGGAAACCGTTTAATTTTTTGCGTACAATGACCGATACTATGACCTTCAAATTATTGTTCTTTCCTCCTGGGACGTTATATATCAATATAAATTCCAACCCTCGTATTTATATAGAAGTTCCATTTTGTGGTAAATAACTTTATAACTACAAAAGCTTCTTAATGCCTCAAAATTTCTAAAAATTCACAATTGTACACAGCCAGAGTTTGTCCGTTATATCCGGTCCCGTTTTAAGAAGATTTTTTTCTACTTAGAACTGGGATTTACCTTGTTCGGTTGTGAAATGTCTGTTCTGACTGGGCTCGCTGATACCAACATAAACTTGTTGCCGGAGAATGGCCTTAGCAGGGATATCTGGATGTCTCTGGAACAGCTTTAAGAGAACATTGACACGGTCAAGTGTGTCAGGTGCAGCGAGATGCGCACCGACTTCTGCGCACGCATCACGAGCTTCTGACCAATCCAAATGCCTGTCGTCCAGCTTGAACCAGCCCACCTGTAACAATGTCAAACAAATTAACAAACTTACAAAGAAGACGAAATAGTTCAGGCGGTATAGTGAAGGGTTATGCATTAGACGGCCGGGGCTCTATTCCTGACATGGACAAAAATTAATCTGTACTCCACAGCGCAGAAAACGGCTGTCCTCTCCAATGGGTATCACGGCAATTCCTCTCTGGCTTAAAGCGGCCGAGATATGAAGTTGACCAATCACTCTAATGCCGAGGTCCCAAATGGTGGAGCTTTACCTCCAGACCATCATAAGTATTCATGGAATTGTCAACTTTACATACCTCACAGATTTTAATAAACTATGGTGTATTTAGAACCCGGAATACGCATTTGTATAAATTTATAAATACATTTCATAACAGAAATATTAATGAAGATTGTACATAAAATAATTTTAACATAATAATTATGCAAAACTTTGAGGATAAATCGGAAAAGTATAAAGCAGGATAGTCAAGTAATAGATCTAAGTTATTTCCAAGGAGATAAAGATGACATAATGATGAAGATCATGATCATGATAAAGAAAATAGTCGAAAATAATAATACTGAAGCGATGATAAAATAATAGTAATATGTGAGATATTTACAATTTCAGTAAGTGAACATTTATGACCCCACGTAGGGTTCGATCCTGTAGCCATATGCTCACGAATCCAAGACGCTAACCCGTCAGATGAGTTTCATCCAATTGTTCGTTAGAAAATCCATTATCAAAACGCAATATTTTTTCCCCCCTTGGCACTACAGCCCCAGTGGGCCAGGCCTACCTCCATGAACTTCTCCGTTCACTTCGGTTTTTCTAGATCTTACACATTCGGTAGGACTCCGTGGGCGGGTGATCAGCTCGTCACAAGGCCTCTACCTGTACATAATCACAGAAAAACGCACACACAAACTAAACATCCATGGCCTGAGTGGGATTCGAACCCACGATCCCGGTTTCCAAGCAAGCGAAGACAGTACATGCCTTAGACCGCTCGGCTACCGTGACCGGCTAAAACGCATCATTAACCTCACAAATTCCGTAAGACTGGAATCTGTATTTTGTGAGTTAGTTGTAACTTCAATCTCTTTTAGCCTTCTTTATTGTTTTGAAAATATTGAAGGAGGCTCATGAGACCACCTGACTGTCTCTGTCTGGGTCCTCCTCTCAATTTTTGCTAGACAACGGGCCATTGCTGGAGATAATTATGTAATATAATTATTTGTTTCCGTGCCTGTGTCCCCCACTTTTAATTCTTTCGTCATCTCTACGTTCCGTGTCGTATCAAAGGAACGTACACTGTTAGTTCTTTCCAGAAACTCTTTTTATGGGTGTAATTAAATAAATTAATTTAAGGAACATGCTCGTCAGGAGCCGTCGTAGCGTAGTCGGTATAGCGACTGGCTACGGGCTGGAAGACTGGGGAGGTCGGAGCTCGAGTCCCGGTAGGGTCAAGAATTTTCTTATCTCCAAGTCGTCCAGACTGGCTCTGGGGTCAACTCAACCTCCTATCCAATGGGTACCAGGGGATCCTTCCCCGAGGGTAAAGCGGCGGGGGCGTGAAGCTGACCACTCACCTCCAGCTAGGGCCGCGGTCAAGAAAATGTGGACCTATACATCCACTCCCCCATACACCTTATGGCGTAGTGGTTAATTCGCTGAGTACAGGGACAACTTCACTTTACCTTTACTCATAAATATTTGCCATTTCAGCTACCGTCCGTCCAGTCTTAAGGAACAGTGTACAGACACCAAGAGGTTGTTATCATCTGCTTACGTCTTTGAAGTATTCGAAGTTATCTGAATCCAAGATTACTTCATCGGATTCATATTGCTCTTCACTGTTGTGAAGATTCTCTGGAACACGTGTGCTCATTGTATGCTGCTCACCAGGAATGGGGAGCTCTCTCACTCGAGGAAGGGAAAATTTTGTAGCGTCTTTCTTGGCCAATCTCACGTCCACAGGGATCTCATTTTCTATTTCAGCTTCTTTGCCCCTTGCTTCACTAATGACTGTATCTTCAGCCGTATTCTGTTCTAATTCTTCCTGTGATGTATTTGTTTGGGAGGTGATTTCCTCTTCCGGCGGGTCAACATTTCCCGAATACCGGTCATCTTTCTCCGTTTCGAAGAACGTGCGGGCTACGTCCAACGTCCAAATCCCGTTTTGCAGAGCACTGCCGTCTTCGTGTCTGTGCTCGATCTTAACCTGTTAACATTTATGCAACATCTTCATTCCATAAAAGTACTTCATATTGTATATATATTCATAGATTTTAGACTTAATTTTCTAGAGTTTCTTTAATTGGCTTAGTTGGGAGTGGAGTCCAACTGGGTCCACTCGGCACGGCGGCCACTGATTGGCCTATTGTAGCCTGCCCCGGGTGATTATGATGATGGATAATTTGGTGGAATGAAGATTGGCAGGGTAAACCGAAGAACTCGGAGAAAACCCGCCCCAGCGCCACTTTGTCCACCACAAATCCCACTTGACCAGACCCGAGATCAATCCCGGGCCGCCGCGGTGGGAAGCCAGAGACTATCCGCTTGAGTTATGGCGCAGCCTATTTTCTAGTGTTAAGTAAGGGATATTACACAGTGTTTTTGTAAGGTATAAGATACACGCAGCGGCGTAGTTGGTTGAGGCAATATGCGGGTTAGAGTCCCAATGCGGTGGATTTTTCACTTGACCTAATCCTTCCAGCCTCACTATGGCCCTGGTGTCTACACAGCCTCTAACATAAATTAGTACCAGGAATCTTCCTGGGTGTAAAGGGCGGCCGGTGCGTAAGTCTGAAAACCTTACCTGTGAGCCGATTGTCTAGATATTGTGGGAGCCTCGACTTCTCACTACCCTATGGGCCTTCATGACCTGTTAAGGGGATAGAAAGAAAATCCTATACACAGACGGTAGGACTCCTTGGGCGGGGATCAGCCCGTTACAAGGCCGTTACCTATACACAGGACATTACAAACACAGAATAAACGCATACACATATATTCGTGCATTGAGTGGGATTCGAACTAAGTATCCCAGCTTTCGAGCAAGCGAAGACAGTTCATGTCTCAGACCGCGCGGCCATTGTGATCGTCTCTGATTTACCGTTCTCTTAAATTCGTTATACTAGGCGACTCATCTCAACATATAACTTTAAGTAGTTAAGTAACATATCAGGAAGGCCGCGCCATAGGTCAAGCGGTTAGTCGCTGGCTTCCCACCGCGGCGGCCCGGGTTCGATCCCGGGTCTGGTCAAGTTGGATTTGTGGTGGACAAAGTGGCGCTGGGGCAGGTTTTCTCCGAGTACTTCGGTTTCCCCTGCCAATCTTCTTTCCACCAATTGCTCCACAATCACCTTCACCTATCATCTGGGGCTGGTACAATAGGCCAAAAGTGGCCGCAGCACAAGGGACTTAGTCCCACCTCACTGGCAACAAAAAATATGTATCAGGGAATGCATGTAATATTTTAATTTGCTTGAGCTGTCTTGAAGCTGACACTTCGTGACGTGCTTTTGGTGTCCTACTTTGTCAACCTTTTATAAATGCCGTAGCAAACTACCAACACCAGAAGCCTTCGAGCACGAGAAGTTGCACCTTCGAGACTGACCATGCAGATTAAAACGTTAACGAGTAGAACAGGATACTGAAATACTACACAGGCCACGTTGCTTTATACCGTACCTCCATGTCTCCCAAATTTGCAGTCCAGTTTCCGGAGTCTGAGTCGGAGGCCGTGAGCTCTAGATCCGTCTCCTCAACCGGTCTGCCTTCGTGCCAAATCATGGCGCCCTCACAGCGAGCAGCTATGGTTGCAGTCACGCACAGTAGCACAAAGCTGAGCTCCATCCTCTCTAACTCTGCGCCCACAAATACAAACTTCTGTTATGTGTGTTTAGTTTATAAGGTTCAGTTGGTGGGGAAACACAGAAGAATCTTTTTTATTCTTGTTACAGCTTTGTAGTTGTTGTATAACCTTATGCACTGTCTTCGTAACACGTGTTGCGAAATTTCATCAAGGTCAATTGATTCGAAGAGGATGTGCTTCAAGATTGCTTCCATATTCTCCAGTCATATTCGTTTTGAATCCTGATTAATTTTTTTATTTATCTACAACGGAAATAGCATCCCTTAATATACTATTAAGTAAGAAAATGGCGAATTCTTATAAATTTTCATGTATGTTTTTCCGTCTGTAGTGCAACAGATTAATATCACTGATTCATATCTATTCCATACAATGATCTTTAAATTTATAATATATTATTAAAATTAACACGAAATAAGAAAACGGAAGGCTAATTGGATTGGTCATGTTTTACGCAGAAACTGCCTTCTAAAAGAAGTTATCGAAGGAAAGATAGAGGGGCGGATAGAAGTGACAAGAAGACGAGGAAGAAGACGTAAGAAGATGCTGGATGACCTTGGGGACAGAAGAGGATACTGTCATTTGAAGGAGAAAG